ATTTGCCTCACCACATCCAGCGACTTCTATTAACATTAAAATGGCAATCAAGTTTTTCAAGACATCTGCGCTGACATTCGCAGTACTGGCTGCACTAACAGAAGCGCACAACAAAATGGCGGTACCACTACCGACGTGGCCCGCCGGATTTTATGCCCAGAACAGTCCGTCCGGCACCATTAACCCCGAAAAGGTTTTACCTGTTCCGAGTGGAATGTCATATACCACCAACTCAGCTTCTAATACAAAAGCATACTGGACGGCATTTAACTCGAGCAAATTCAAGACGCTCAAAGAGCTGGCCTGGGAATCACAGACTCTTGTTGACAACGCTTCAAAAGAATGCGGCTTTTCTGTGGTTGACGGTACGCCTCAAGTATTGCCTGATATGGTGCAGTGGGACTTTTTCACAGGGTCTCACCAAGGTCCGTGTGAGGTCTGGTGTGATGACATTCTCGCATTCACGAACTGGAATTGTGCCGTCGACTACCCCCAGACACCAGCCAATTTACCATACGACAAGTCCAAATGCCAGGGTGCATCGGTGCTATCGTCCTATTGGATTGCTTTGCACACGACTCCGTGGCAAGTGTACACGAATTGCGCTCCGCTAACTGGAGCTTCGGGAGATGGGTCAACCCCCTCGAATACACCGAAAACGGAAACCAATAACACGCCCGCGACACCGACATGGACCAATACAGATGCGGCTACACCTGCCCCAGCAAACTCGAATACACCGAAAACAGACAAAACCACGCCAGCAACAACACCGACGACTGATAATTCTAATGAGGCTGCACCTACCCCGGCCAATGATAATACACCCAAAACGGACACTGATGACGACACTGTCGATCAGAGCGACAAAGATCATCTGACAGGTGCAGAAGCCGATCCGAACGCCATCACGCCTACCGTACAGTCAAATAACAAATGCCGTCGCCGACAATAAGCATGTTCTCGCAAACCAGTCTTCTATATGTAGTTAACAAGTACAAATTTGTAAGTTCTGTTTGTTTACGGCTAAGAATTTCTTAGAATTCACACGCTTAATGTTGTTTAACAAAGACTTTAGCCATGTTGTCTGAACATTAGTGTCACCTCTTCAGCGGCATCTTCTAGTCTTTTACTTTTCTGCAAATGGTCTGAATAGAACGACTGAGAAGAAGTTTATGTACTTTGTTTTCATCCAAAACTTTGGTCGTCATATGCAATTGACCACGTGATATCTCAATCTACGTCTAACGTATGTCTTTTAGACGAGCTGGCATTGAAGAAATTGTATGCGTTTAACATCTCCAAAAGCATGCAGGTGAGCATATAGCTTTTTTTTAAACAAATGTTGTTAATTCGCTCAGAACAGCATTTTTTGATAAGAAGACAACACAATTTTTTTGGCAAATCCTACTGTTTGATTAACCGAAACATATTCGGCAAGAGTGACAGATAGTCAGTCGTATATTGCTTTAAAGCAAGAAGTAATCACTTTTAAACGAAGCATTTCATCTTGCTTGCGTTTAAATTGATAATTTGTCGACTTGTCGCCAGTCTGGTCCTTACTGCCGTCATTTTTCCTCGGTTGCGTGCTATTTGGTCGAAGGCCATTTGTCTCTTTGGTTCTTTTGTGTAGATCTTCGCGTTCAGGCAGATACTTCTCTTCATCAGCATACACGCTGCACGTTATCAGCATCTGCAACTCTATAGGCCCTTTAGTGATCACTTCTGACACTTCACCCGATAAGCATTTTTGTCAATTAGGCTCTTCTTTAAAGACAAAGAGCTGTCATTACTCCTACTCTTAGCTCATTTTTTGACTTTTTGATTGGAACGGCATCTTGTATCTTATACAATCATACACCCCGCACAGCTATAATCACTATACATTGTTATAGTCATTTTTCGCGTCTGGGTTTTGCGTCGACACGTTACCATCAAAAGTTTTTTTCTTTTTACCACATTTTCTGTAGCGACCTTCCATTCGGTATCTGCGGTTGTAGTCGCAACATACTTAAATTTGTCTCCACATCTTCGTCCTAGACGTCTGTAAATAAAAAAGGATTAGGATACATGACAGTGAATCCTTCACAGTGTATGATCAAACTTTACTTTCAGGAAGATTAAAGATATTAACTAGGATCGTTTTCTGTATAAACAGATGTAGTTCTCATGAATATAAATTCGCCACATAGCTGCAACATTGTCCTTCAAGCGATGTCATTTCAAACATGTGACTAAAAACAGAACAATGATTACTTTAATATAATTTTCTGAAGGATGGATGTAGTAATATATTCTGTCAGCTGTCACATACGATGAGTTTTTGTGTAAAGCACTTATTCTGAGGTCAAAAAGTCTGTGATGAGAAGACACTGTTTAATTCCTGAAACATCAGATATTGAAGACAATGCTAGAAGATAAGTAAGTGCCTCTTGAGCGTTTGTACTGGAGTTATTATCTAGCGTGTAACCTAAAGATGTTTGCAACCTTTGACGCAAATGCAATAGTAATTACATATAATTTCAAAACGTTTTCATTGCGAATAATCTATTTTGCTTAGCAGTAGTCTTCACGCAACGAAAACAAGGTTGTCCACTGCCTTCTTGTATTTCGAAGTGTTTCTTACTGCAAAAACTCAATGGCCTGACGATAATGGAAGGGTATAAGCTACTTACATCATTCCACCCATGCCACCCATACCGCCCATGCCACCCATGCCACCCATCGGAGGTCCAGCAGCACCAGCTTCCTCTGGGTAGTCCGCAATAAGAGCCTCAGCTGTCATCATTAGCGACGCCACACTCGAAGCATCCACAAGTCCCGTACGCACAACCTTCGTCGGGTCAATAATACCAGCGTCCACTAGGTTAACATATTCACCAGTCTGAGCGTTGAAACCATGTTCTGGAGAGTTATTCTCCAGCAATTTGCCCACGACGACTGCTCCTTCATGTCCAGCATTCTTTGCAATTTGCGTTGCCGGAGCACGGCAGGCACGCTCGACAATCTCCACTCCAACCTTTTGATCCAAGTTTGCGCACGAATCAAAAAGCGTGTTAAGTGTGCGAGATGCCCAAAGCAAAGCGGCACCACCACCAGGCACAATACCCTCAGCAACAGCGGCACGGGTGGCGTTTAAAGCATCGACCACGCGGTCCTTCTTCTCACCGACCTCAACTTCACTGGCACCACCAACCTTGATCACAGCTACACCGCCACTCAATTTGGCAAGACGTTCTTGCAGTTTTTCCTTTTCGTACTCGGATGTGGTGCTTTCAATCGATGCACGCAATAAATTGCCACGCTCTTCCACCGCTTCAGGAGATCCAGCTCCGTCAAGCATTAAAGTGTCATCTTTGGTGACAGTAACCTTTTTGGCGCTGCCCAACATCTCTGGAGTGGCCGTCTCAAGACGGTGGCCTAAGTCTTCTGAAATGACAGTAGCGCCTGTGAGCACAGCCATATCCTGCAGACTTGCTTTGCGATTGTCACCGAATCCAGGAGCCTTTACCGCACACACCTTGACACCACCACGAATTTTGTTGATAACAAGAGCAGCCAAAGCCTCACTTTCGACATCTTCGGCAATAATAAGCAATGGACGCTGTTGCTTCACAACGGTTTCTAACATGGGAATGATGGCCTGTAAACTCGAGACCTTCTTCTCGACCAATAAAATGTACGGATTTTCCATTTCACACGACTGTGTTTTATTATCCGTGACAAAATACGGCGAGATGAATCCACGATCAAATTTCATACCCTCAACCACTTCCAACTCATTGTACAACGTCTTACCATCTTGTACTGTAATTACACCTTCTTTGCCCACACGTTCCATAGCATCACTAATGAGATTACCAATTTCAGCTTCCGAATTGGCTGATATAGTGGCTACCTGTGCCACTTTTTCCTTGTCAGCTACATCCATCGAGAGTTTTTGCAAACCGTCAACAACATGATCGACTGCCATTTGAATGCCTCGTCGCAAGTCCGTCGGGTTCATACCGGCAGCCACCGACTTGCAGCCTTCACTAAAAATGGCACGTGTTAAAACGGTAGCTGACGTGGTTCCATCACCAGCTGCGTCATTTGTACTGCTGGCCACGGAACGAACAAGCTGTGCACCCATGTTCTCGAATTTGTCCTTGAATTCAACACTACGAGCAACAGTAACACCGTCCTTGGTGATCTTGGGAGCGCCGTACGATTGATCAATGACCACGTTTCGACCTTTAGGACCTAAAGTCACTTGAACAGCATTAGCCAACTGATCAGCGCCCTTGAGCATTGCTGCTCGACCCTCAACGCCAAATCGAATATCCTTGCCAGAGGAAAACAGGCGTTGACCCGAGGGCGAGAAGCGTGCAGCCTTCTTCACGGCAACAACAAGCTTGGGGTTCATCTTATGTCTGAATTGTGGTAGATTATTAAATGACAAGCATTGTGTGCCCTTCGTTTGTTGATCAATAGCTTGTGGTGCACAGTTAAGTGTCGGTTGTCGCCGGACACAGCTAACTAGGTTATAGTAGTATTATAAGTTGTGCCATAAATGCATTAGCAATATGTCCGAAGAAGTGTCGCAATGCCACTATCATGAGAGTGACCGTTCTGGAGACTGTTCTAGAAGGTAATTTGTTTCTTCTAGAGTAACCTGAATTTAACGTAAATGTTTTAACGTTTTGACAATCTAAATATTAACGCCTGTTAATTTTACTGCTCGCTAAACCCAGGTGCCGTCGAAAGCCCGTCCACGTCGCAACAGTTGCATCAGATACTTGTCGGAACCTTGCACATGCTGGTTTTGGTTTTGTGATGGTTCACTCTTGAATTGATGTTTCGCTTGATTCATTTATTTGAGGCTATGTCATGATGGCAAAAATTTGATCGACAAATTAGTCAAGTCAGGTGCAAGTATTACGAACCAAAAGTTTAAGTCCTCTAAAATACCTGAGTGTAAAAATTACATATTTGTAATGTATTTGAAGCTGTAACAAAGATGGGAATCGTTTTGATCGCATATAATCGACGTGTAAAGCCTCGACAACATGCTCGAGAACGCCTTAAGAAATACATGCTGCTCTTGAATAAGCAAACTTGATTCAGGTGACACTTGCATCATCTATACGAGTCTTGCTTTACTACGATGACTGCAGTTTTCAAAGGTTTTATTAGCGCATTGGTGCTAGAAGCAAATCGACCTAATTAAATGTTGCTTCTGACAGTCAGTTATCTGCTTTTGAAAAAAAACTAGGCTACAAAAACTAGAAGTTTGGCTTACGTGGTTATTTAACAGCAACTCCTAAGTCTACTCGATAACGTGCCTTGAATATCCTAATTTAGTCATTTCCTCTGTGATAATCAACGTGTGCATGGCGCGCAACAATCTTTTGATAAATCACACAAAACTATGATTTCCACTATTTGCAAATTCATTTTTCAGAATTGCTTTTAGAAACGGTCATTTCATCTTTGAGATAGTAGTAAATGGACTTTTCTTACTGATGTTTCTTTTCATAAATACATCGACACTTATCCGACCGTTACAAGTAGGTAAGGTAGATACATACAACGACGACTTATCACAAGCGCCATGGGGCGCAAGAAACTCGGCGTCGTGAGTTTGGCACTCATCACATACTTTAACGTAAGTGGTGGTCCGTGGGGGTCTGAGCCCATTGTGGCGGCTTGCGGACCTTTTGTTGGTATCGTAGCTACACTCGTATTTCCCTTTGTTTGGTGTCTACCACTGGCTTTGTCATTCGCCGAGTTATTTTCCGCCTTCCCAACCGATTCAAGCTTTTGCACATGGGTAGGCAAGGCTTTTGGTCGTCGAATGGGATTTCAAGTAGGATATTGGAGTTGGATGTCAGGCGGTAAGTAAGATACTGAGAATGCTAGAAAAATGAAATTTGGTATAAGAATTTTTTGAAATGCTTCGTAGTAATCGATAATGCCATCTATCCGTGCCTCATGGTGGATTCTGTCTATGCAGTACTCTCAGGACCTTATGAAATGCGCACTTTTCTAGTTCCAAGCTGGATGTATTTTGTTCGAGTATCTGTGGCAACAGTGTTTATGATTCCGACCATTTTTAGTATCGATGCTGTTGGTCGGTTTCTCTTAGTACTTGGTCTTGCAATGGTCGCACCTTTTGTCGTACTGGTTATCGTAAGCGTACCCCAAATTGATACCAATAATTGGTTTGTCATCAGTGCAGCTCCTAGATGGAGTCAACTTGTCAGTGTTTTGTACTGGAGCTATAGTGGATTTGATGCGGCAGGTGCCTATGCAAGCGAGATCGATTTACCACGACAAACGTATCCAAAGGCCATGATGCTCACAGTAGCATTGGTAGCCCTTACGTACTCGGTGCCATTTCTTGCAGCTTCAGGTGTGAATAGACCTTCTTACGAATTATGGCGAGACGGTTACTACCCGATGATCGCCGAGGCGATTTCAGGTCCTATGTTAAGATCATGGTTTCTTGGTTGTGCTTTGCTTGGGAATCTTGGCGTCTATATCGCCAAGATGACCAAGAATGGATTTCTACTTGCTGGAATGGCTGATCTTGGCCTCGCGCCGCACTATTTTATCAAGTACGTTGTATAAGATTTTGTTGATTTTACTCAATTCAATCTCATTGAGTTGTGTCTCTAAATACGTAGACGTACAGTATCAAACGGAGTTCCACGTCGTGCCATCTTACTATCATACAGCATCATCATTTTTATGGCGCTGTTCGATTTTAACGTCATTTTGGGCGTCGATAACTTTCTGTCGTCTTTGGCATGTGTTACAGAACTTTGTGCCGTGGTAAAACTTCGATATACTATGCCAACGCTAGTGCGACCGTACAAGGTCAACATCTCGGATCGAGGACTGCTTATGATAATGATCGTTCCCTTCTCAATTGGTTCATTCGTATTGCTTAATGAACTCACAAAGTCAACATTGAGTCTTCTGCTCAATTCAATCGCACTTGGAAGTGGCATCTTTTGTCAGCAATTTCTACACAGACTACCAGCATTCGTATACACACCACTTACTGCCGGCATTCAGCTTGATTTAAATGCTTGAGCTTTAATCAGTTTGTACTAAAAGAGCTCGAAAGCGAACCTATTCATATATCTCAGTTCTTTCGTTTATAAGGTAAGGTGGCTATAACTCACACAGATGGGAGGCACCGCATATGCCCAAAATGGTCGACATGGCTGTAGCACGTATTCATACTAACCGCATTTATGATGAAGACATTGCGCTTATCCACTCGCAGATTCTGTCTCTTCTGAATTCAGAGTATCGGTCGTTTTGGCTACGATCAAGGTAGAAGATGACTTCAAGTCAACAACTGCGCTCTTGCTTTCGTGCTCCGACAGTTCATGAATCGACATGCGAGTATCTCCTTCATCTGCGGACTGATCTGATTCTTCCTCTGCACGAGCAGAATACGCTATCTCCGAATGCTCTGACGCAGCTATCACTGCACTGCTACTAAGCTGCAAGCCACGAATCAAGTCATCACAAGATTCTGTCGCGTTGGAACTGGGCAAAGCAGCATTCGCACTGCTACTCAGCTTAAGACCCCCAAAGATATCAGTACGTGCCGTCGTCAAAGCAGGTTCGGATGAGGCCGCGTCGACTACATGATTTGATAGCTGCAGCCCACCAAACATAGTAATCGACTCCTCTTTTCTTGGTACATCAGCCCCAACAGCGTCTGCACTTAAACTTAGCTGCATATTATCACTAGCGTCCATGCTTTGGGTACATTTTTCGGCATTTGCTTCCGCTTCGTCAGATATAGAGCTAGAGGAAGAGCTTACATGGAAGCTTCCACTCATGTGCATCCCATTAAAAAGTGATCCAGATGCAGAGGGCGCCACCAAACTAGCTTGATGAGTCGATGCCTCAGGTTGACCAAAAAACGAGTCCTTCATATTGGAAGAAGTAGGCGAAAAAACTTCTGCTGGTGCCACTACTGGTTCATGTTCATACGTTTCACTAGCAGATGCCATAGTTGCAATTTCTGGTGAAGTCACACGTGGACCGTGACTTATCTGTAACCCTCCAAAGAGTGATCCACTAGTTTCCGAATCATTAGGTGTATCGATTGGAGAGTTACACACTGGTACCTGGCTCTTATCTGCTTCGGCAGATAGTAAGCTATTGCTTTTTACGTCAAGTCCTCCAAAAATGCTCGAAACAGTCCCTGTATTTATTGGTTCAGGCTGGCTTCGGAACGCCTTATCTTCTTCTTGCAACGACTGCTGCTCCTCATGATGAAAGATGGCACTGTTATTGTCGTTAGTAGTCGTTGCTAGCGCGATAGGAGTCTCAAGCATCGAAGCTGGTAATTGATTGGTCTCTAAAGTCTGCGTCACTTCTTCCTGACATCGACCAGTACTCACAGGGCTGAGCATTTCTTCGTGAGCATAATCCACATGGGCTTCATCTATCTCATTAGAGACTTCATGGCTTACAACCTCTTCCGCAACTTCTTCAATCAAACTGTTCTTGCGAACAGAATTCACAGGCATCGATGCTACAATCGCCTGCTTCCGTTCTTTGAGCGATTCAATCTCTTCGTCAAGCTTTGCTGCCAAATCGTATTCTTCGTTTTCCGTGGCTTGTTCAATCCGTGACTCCAGTTCAGCGAGTTGTGCTGTAATCTCCTCTAGAGCAAAGGTATTATCTTCAAGCGCCTCCATACTAGCTTCTGACCCATCTACGTCATTCGTCGATCCTTTCAAAATCGAGTGCTGAGCCTCATTAACATCCCTTCTTTCATTCTCTTCGCCATCAACAGACATGTCGTCGTCATCATCGTCACTGCTTTCATCTCTTGTAGGTTCAGAAACGTCATACTTTTTTTCGAAGGTCTCCACTTGTAGCATACATGCATCATATTCGGCCTGAACCAGTAATAGTGCCGACGATCGAAAATCAATTCCATCAGTGGCAGCATCTCCCTCACTCTTACATCTCTCAATTTTTCGCAAGGCTGTGCGTAAATGCTTTGCTTCTTTCCATAGCTCTTGTAAAGCGGCGAGCTCAAGGCGCCTCTCTACTTCTTTTAGCTCCTTCTTTTTTTCATCATACTCCACCTGCCGCTTGTCGATGCGCTCCTTCAAATCTTGAAGTTCCATCTCCACGACTTCCACCATTTCCTCAGCTGTTGAACGATCCTTTTCCAACGCCTTTATGTCCTTAGAAATTCGAGCTGCTTCTTTAAAATTTCGCTGGGCAGCAGCACCTTTCTTTTCCTGCTCTAAGCGCGGAATCATGGCTTCTGCAGACGCAATAGCATTTCTGTGAAGAGACGACGACTTTTGAAGTTCCTCCTGCTGATTATTTAGCATCATAAGGCTCTGCTCGGCAACCGCAGCCGCATCATTGAGCGAGCTAAGTTCCGCCGCCTGCTGCTTCTTGCGAATCATTGATTGCTCCCGCCGAGTCTCCTGCACCTCCAAAACGTTTGCTAATAATGCAGCAGCACGCATTTCCTTTTTGACAGCGCCAATACGCTTTCCAATTAGTGAAATATCATCTGTGTATTGCTTAAGTCGGGTCTCAAATTCAGAGCGCTGCTTCTCAAGATGCCGTCCATCTGACTCCACTTCTGCCTTAGTCTTTTGAATGCTTTCCTCACGATCAGCAATGCGCTTCAGTTGACGAGAATAACGTTTTCGGACAGTGTTGATGTCACGTTGCGCATGGTCAATCGATGATTGAATCTTTTTTACTCGCTCTAGCTTCTCCTTAAGCTTTTGCTCTAGCTCGCGCACTTCCTCTTCCACCGCATTTTTTTCTTCCATCAATCTAGCCTGAATCGCAAACTCCGTGCTGCATTGACCTTCAATCGTAGCTTCAATCTCCGACTTTTCAGCATTAACATTCTCTAGACTTACTGACACATGATGCATCTCAGACTCAATTCTTTCGGCTTCAAACTGCAGCTGCTGTGTCTGGTTTATATTGTACAATTTGTACTCGTTGCGTGCAACCGTTCTATCCGATTCTTGATCTTCACGAAATTTTTCGAGCTCACGTAAAGTTCCACGCGTACTCTTAAGTTGATTAGCGAAAGCTTTTTCCTTAGCCTTCGCGAATGCGACAATCTCGCTCTCCACTTTTCGTACATCGCTTTCATTAAGCGTTATGCAATGCCGTACGCTATTAATTGTTGCATTTAGCGCGTCTGCTTTCTCAAAATCTTCGACCTCACATGCATGATGTTGTTGTGCCTCAATGTCTCGCAAATCCATTTCATACTGCGCTAATTGGTTTGTAAGGTGTGTCTTGCGTTCCAAAAGTCGATTTTCTTCTTCATTCTGCTTGACCGTAAGTTTACGAAAACCCACGGCACTTTCATGAAAGTCACGCAAAGTGTTAAACAGTCGATCTTCCGGAGTCAACGGGGCTTTACTGGGTTCAGGAGGTGGGAGCGGTTTGTATACGTCATGAGGTTCCTCCACTACAGCATTGATCATAGCTTCGGGTTTATCATTCGTGATACTGATCGGCATTTTGTGAATATTTAAGCCCGACAACATCCCACTTGATTCCGTTTCGACTGGAGCCACCATCTTTGGTGGAGATGGCACAGGTGAAGCTGGTTTATGAACTGTAAGACCAGCTAGAACACCGCCACTAGAAGTAATGCTACCTTTGTGAACCGTCAATCCTTGCAAAACCGAGCCTGAAGTAACTGGAGGCAATAAATGGGCCAAATCCGTAGGATTTGTCGCACTTCGCGAGCTACGAGAACTATCCGATCGGTCGGATAGACGACGTCCTTCTCGTTGCTGAGATATAACATCATCTTCTTTTAAGTCTCCACGTTGTAATGCTGCCGCAGATTCATCAGACAATTGTCGACCAAAACCAGGACGAAATGTTTTTTTCTTTTTCTTTTTTGCAGCCTTTGTACTTGATCTTGATGTCGCATTGCTGCCTGTACTCGTGCGCGAATATCGTGACGCATTAAATGATTCTCCACCAGTCACATCAATATGGTGAGATGATCCTGAGCTTCTAGTTGATTTCCGTTGTGTGGGAATCGCCAACCCAGTGTCATCAGGTACCGGTATGTTCGAAATGCGAGAAATGTCATCAAGTTGTGCTACCGGTGGTACTGAAGCAACAGCTAGCCCATTAAACAAACTACCACTAGATTGAACAGATGGCATTGCGCTCGATGGTGTGCTTCCATAGCCTCCATACTGATTCTGAACCGCAGTCTGAGGCTGGAACCTTCCTACCGGTTTAGAAATAGCAGGAGCTCGCAATGACATGCCGCCAAACATTTCAGGAGTAGAAGCAGGTCCATTATATTCCTGGGAGCTATTGTTATTGTAATTCACAGCAGGCGGGTACGCTCCAGCTCCAATTGCAGTTACGGAATTGCTGGAAGCAGTCGAGTTCGTGACACCATATGGCTTGGATACAGGAGGCGGTAGATTAAAAAATCCTCCACCGACTGGTAGCTCATCCGTCGATCCATTTGAACCACCTTGACGTTGATGGCCTGGGGGACCAGTCTTGCCATCCTCTTTGTTCTTAAAGAAACGGCCAAACATGCTTG